CACATCTCATTCTGGTTGGTTTCGTTAAGGGAATTTATGCCTAATCTCTCTCTCTCTGTACTTTCTCTTTGACAACCAACGCAGAATCAAATAATTAATTAAAGAATTATACGCTAAGCTCGTGGTACCGTTCATTAAAATGAGCATTTGAAAGGAGAAAAAAGTTGAAGACAAATGGCAATCCCGTATAGTTATTTATTTTTTTCATTTGAAATGAGCATTTAAAAGGAGGAAAAAATTATCAGTGGCTATTTGAAAATTAGTAACCAATTATATTCGTTATTTTTTCATTTCAACTGTTGAAGAATATCATCTAATTTTGTTTTTCCCTTTTTGGTTTTTTTTTTTGAAGGGTCTTTTTTCCTTTTTGTTGCGAAAGAAAGAATCTTCAACAAATTTTACGCGCTAATTACTTAATCACCGTTCAAGACGTCAAGTGTTGACGTTCACATCAATTTATGTAGAAATTTCGTTACTTGACAAGATCATTTACCAGAAATTTATTAGTTGCACTTTAATTTATTCCTCTTCATTTTATAGATCTTACCAACTTTTCAATCCTTCCGGAAGTCCAATATTAATAAGCCATTGTTACTATTGTACTTGTATTTCGTGAGATTTGTATAGTATGGTATGAAAAGGTACACCAACGGCGGAATTTCGTTTTAAACATATGGCTTTATTTATTTAATTGATTTGAGTATTTAATTTTAGTTTTGTTAAAGTTAAAAACTCTTATAAAAAGTCACATCTAATTTTTTCACTACAGTTAAAAGCTTAACATGAAATAATATCTCAGATCGAATTAAAAACTCGAATGACGAACTAACCGATGTCATAATATTTCTAGAAGAAAAAAAAAACACTATTTATGTTAGGCCTTGTCTTCATCACATTCTATTAAATCATCACACTTTATTTTATCCTATGCGATTCTTATTTGATCTAATGGTGAAATTGTACATAGATTTAATACGATGGCTACAAACTAAACTCCTATTATCTATGTCCTACTCATTTACCTATTAAGTTTCAAAAATTCTTACAACATTATCAAATCTCAAAGAAAACTTAATTAAATAAATTAGAAAATTCAACAACCTAATCATTAATATATCATAAATATAAATTGAAATATAAATGTCAAATCTACATTTTAATAATAACAAACTAAAGTCTGAAATTTAAACTCAAATATATATGAGAATCGGAGTGAATTAGAGACGAGGGAGCTTTTCTCGTCCCGTCTCACCTCCAAATTAGGAGTGGACTTGCTCTTTTAGATCAAAACTCAAAAAAAGTTTGAACTCAAGTTACAACTTTATTTAAGTTCATGTTCTTTCGTAAAATTTGAGTTTAAACTCGAGTTTTAACTTGAGTTTAGAGTTAAAATATGAGTTCAAGTTCCTCATTCAACTCAAGTTCTTAAGGGGTTGTTCTTTTACATTTTTGAGTTAGGGTGGCTTGAGTGATGATATTGAGTTGAGTTTGAATTATAATCTAAGTTGAAGTTGTAACTTGAGTTTGTATTTGAAAGTGTACATTTGAGTTATGATTTGAATTGAGAATCTTTTTGAGTTTGTGTTTAAGTGGGTCAAAACTTAAATTTGTATTTAGATAGTATTTTAATAAAAACTCAATGGTGATGAAAAATTTTAATAGGGTATATGGTGGGGTTTTATTTGTCTTTTCATTGTGAATGCATAAAAAAAATGAAAAAGTTATGACATTTTTAAGAATAGAAAAACACTGTTCATTAACTTGAGTTCGAGTTTATGAACTCGAGTTGAATGAGAAACTTGAACTCAAGTTTAGCCCCAAATTCGAGTTCAAACTCAAATTTTACAAAAGAATATGAACTTAAATAAAGTTGTAACTCGAGTTCAAATTTTTTCTGAATTTCGTTGCAAAAAAATAACCCCTAAACTCAAACTCAAATTAATGAACAATATTTTTTTTATTCTTAAAAACACCATAACTTTTTCGTTTTAATTCCGATTGAGATGATTTTTTTTCTATGCGTTCACGACGAAGAGATGAATAAAACTCTATCCACATACCCTATTAAAATTTTCCATCACCATTGAGTTTTTATTAAAATATTATCTAAATACAAATTTAAATTTTGGCCCACCCAAACACAAACTCAAATAGATTCTCAATTCAAACCATAACTTAAACGTGCACATCTAAACACAAACTCAAGTTACAATTTCAACTCAAGTTATAACTCAAATTCAATTCAAGATCTACACTCAAGTCACCATAACTCAAAAATACAACTGAACAAGCTCTAAATTTTTCCCCAATCCTACTCTCATATAACATTCTCTATACCTATCATATTAGGGGGCGTTTGGTATGCAGTAATCTTAAGGAGGTGAATGAGAATCTGCAATATTACCATGTTTGGTACAAGAATTATAATTTTTAGATTCCCAGGAAAGTGATTACCATGGGATTCACTTTCTCTCATTTTAAGGTAATTTGAATACCACCTAATATGGTGTTATTCAAATTCCCAATAATCTCAAAATCATGGGAATCTTACCCACACACCCAGTGCAGCTTACCACACCGAGAACAACGAGCATGAGAGAGCTTCCGAGGAGCGCCCCCCCTGTTGCCACTGTCTGCACCCACCCAAAACAATGCCGAATTGACCAAGCTTGCCCAGAAGGCAATCGAGCACTTCGAGTCCTACATCTCCCAACGCTCCTCCCTCTCCCAAAACGACGTCGCGTCCTTCTTCTCCCCCTCCTGGTGCACTCCTTGGGAGAACTCCCTCTTCTGGATCGCCGGCTGCCGCCCCTCTGCCTTCATCCGCCTCGTCTACGCCCTCGACGGCGCTGACATCGAGTCCAAGCTCTCCGAAATTCTCCGAGGCAAGACCGTAGGCGATATCGGTGACCTCTCGGCGCTGTAGATGCGGGCGGTGGACGAGCTGCAGCGGCAGACGATTCGGGAGGAGGAGAGGCTGACGGCGAGGCTGGCGGGGCTACAGGAGGACATGGCGGATCAACCGATCTCCGCCATCGCGAAAGGCATCGACTGGATCGGAGAAATGAGCGGAGAGATCGAGAAGGTTCTGAACGAGCACGAACGATCCATGGTTGAAGTTCTAGAGGAGGATGATAAGCTCAGGCTGAACACGCTGAAGGAGATTCTAGGGATTTTACATCCGGTGCAAGGGGTGGATTTCTGGCCATGAGTAAGAAGCTTCATCTCTGTGTTCATGAGTGGAGTAAGAAGAGGGATCAAAATAAGCACGACATAGAAAATCACTAGCTAGCTTGCGTGCAATGTTTTAATTCACAACATTCTCATACACAACCAAACACAGTAATGTAATATTCTTGGAAATTTGAAAAAGATTGTTGTATGGAACCAAACACAGTAATGTATTATTCTTAAGAATTATATTACCCTCCATCACTTTCTCATGAATATGATTCCTACTGATTCCTGCATACTAAACGTCCCTTTAAGGGTAGGACCTGCCGACTGTGGGTATCTATACTTGTGGAAAAAAAAATGACATCCTCGTAAATTTTCTAATTTTATATTACTTTTCTTTTAATGGCTACTATGTATCTTCTAACGAGTGAAATTAAGCTGCTTGATGCACCCTAAAATTTCGGAATGTATTATAATTTTCTAGAAAACATGCCAACTATTGGGCGACTCTGTGTACTATATCTATTCGGAAGAGTCCAACACAGAAGACACGCACATCGATCGACGTTTTAAATAAACGCTTGTATAATGAATTTAATATCATATTGCCATCTCAACGAACAAATAATATAGCATTATTACATGATTTTACATTAAAAAAAATAACATTATCACATGCTTCTTTTACCCCTTCTTTTGGTCCCCTCAACCAGAATATCCAGTCCTTTGGTAGTCCTCTGCCTCTCCCTCCCAGGCATTTTAGTCCTTGAATATATTTTTTTGGTAATTATGTAAATAAACTTTGTACTTTTCTTTTTGCAATTCATCCTTTCCTTTTCTTTTGAAACTAGAAAATCATCCTCTAAATTTGAAGTAGTTTTTTTTTTTTTTTTTTCAATTTAATTTCCCGCGTGATTTCATTTATAATAAACTCATGTACAAATGATGCTCTAATAAGCTTACTAAAAACCCATTCCTAACATCCTACTAGCTGTGACTACCTCTTTATTATTTTAGTTAGGATTAGTTTTAACGGTACTCTCTAAATTTTAGGATCATTCTCAATTTATTTTCTAAATGTTAAAAACTCACATTTTAGGTTTTTTTTTTTTTTTGTACGGGCATCTCCTCAATTTTTTAAATTTAACAATTTCATCCTTATAATTTTTCCTTACAATTAACTCATTCAACAAAAAAAACGTTAAAATTAAGGTCCAATTAAAAATAACATTTATTTTTTTGACGTTTTTTATCATGTAACACACATGTTAGCGTCTGTTAAGCACAATAAACAAAAATTTCTTTTGTTATACCCCGAGCATCTCTTAGACATCGTTCATTTCGCTGATTTGAGTTTAGAATTCGAGTTTTACTACAGTAAAAAACTCTCATAAACAGTCACATCTAATTTTTTTATTACAGTAAAAAACTCTCATATAAAATTATATTTTAACTTAAATTAAAAATTCGAATCAACGAACTAAACGGGTCATTGTATGAAAAAAAAAAGCTTCTATTTATACTGTGAGCAGTTTCCTTTTCCATGCACGGTTTTCCAAGTGAACAAGTGTCGGTCAGTTAGCTCACGGAACAAAGTCCTAACTAACCTCAAAATGATTTGTTCCTCCTTTTCATATTCTTCTAGCGTATGAAAAGGAGGATTTGGAAATCATCCACTTTCCTAAAACATCTCTTCAAAAGACAAACGTGAATCATTATTTATTTATTTATTTATTTTCTCTTCTAAAAACTAACATGTATCACGGTCATGTTCACAAGTCCATATTTTATTTACTAAAAAATAAACAAATACCCTGTATCATTATTTATTTATTTATTTATTTTCTCTTCTAAAAACTAACATGTATCACGGTCATGTTCACAAGTCCATATTTTATTTACTAAAAAATAAACAAATACCCTGTATCATTATTTATTTATTTATTTATTTTCTCTTCTAAAAACTAACATGTATCACGGTCATGTTCACAAGTCCATATTTTATTTACTAAAAAATAAACAAATACCCTGTATCATTATTTATTTATTTATTTATTTTCTCTTCTAAAAACTAACATGTATCACGGTCATGTTCACAAGTCCATATTTTATTTACTAAAAAATAAACAAATACCCTGTATCATTATTTATTTATTTATTTATTTTCTCTTCTAAAAACTAACACGTATCACGGTCATGTTCACATGTCCATATTTTATTTACTAAAGAAAAAATAAATACCCTGTATCATTATTTATTTATTTATTTATTTTCTCTTCTAAAAACTAACATGTATCACGGTCATGTTCACAAGTCCATATTTTATTTACTAAAGAAAATAAATGCCCTTGTACCTGTATAATGTGAGTATTGTTTAAGGTTTCCTATTATGATTTATATTACGGAAAGAGACCAATCAAATTGACCCTAAAACAAGCTAATGTTTTTTTTTTTTTTTTATACGAGTTTTGGAAGTGTATAAACCTGTAAATCACAACAAACCGCATCATGAAAACCGTAATTTTAAAAAGCGCTCACACCATCAATTAATCGATTTGATTTCAATCCAAACTCTTAAGGACTCATTTGTTTAATGTGTTTAAACTTACAATTTTGATTCTCTTATAGTATTTTTTTCTCATAAACAATTTAAATTTCAAACGCTAAAATTAAGAATTATTGGTTTAGTTTAAGATTTGAAACCACGGTCCAAACTAATGTCAAATGGTAATTCATTTTTTAATTATTAATTTATATATATATTTTTAAAATAGAGTGTGCTATTATTATTATTATTATTATTATAAGAATAATCATTGGTTATAATAACAGATTCTGAGTGTTGAAATTTCTTTCAATTAAATTAACTTATCATCTATATTAAGAATCTTAATAGCCAAAGTGTGGGCAGCCTCATTAGCGTATCTGAACACATAACATAACTCACCTCTTGAAAAATAAGATAATAAATTAAATATATCTAACAATAACAAAATGAAGTAGAACGCTTCAAAATTTCTATTTTATTAATTTATATTTTTTGACATCTTTAGTTTTTCAGAATTTGATCAATGCTAGAAAGTATAATATTGTTAACTTCTCAAATGTTCAAAGATGTATTAGCTCTTAAATCCACTTCATTTCATCTTATTCAAATGGTCAACGATGTATCAGCTCTAAAGTTCATTTTATGTTAACTTCTACTTTATTTTTATGTTATTCCATTGTATCCATTTTAAAGTTACTAACATGAAAATATATATGATTAGATTTTATTTGAACTTTAATTTTTGAATACAAATCTAATAGATGAAAATCTGCAAATATTTTTATGATTTTAATTATACGATAATTTAAAATTTTGATAGGTTCTTCAGGAATCTCAAACTGTAGTTTCAAAATGCCCCAGACCTAATTTGTTCTTGTTCAAAAGCTAAACGGTTAGATTCAATAATTTTTAGTTTGGTTTGGAGATTTTCAAACCGTAACACGACTTGGATTGAAAAATGCTTCAAATCGCACCGTTTTCACCCTTACTTTATACCAAAAAAAACTCAACTTGTCTTAAAATTTCTTTTATCAAAGAAAGAAAAACAAACCATATATGGATACTGAAGCACAAGAAAATCTAATTAACTATAGGAAGAAAGAGGAAAATAGACTAAGACTTGAGATGAATTAAAATTAATAAGTCAATAGTTTACATAAGTTAATAAATAGGCCAAATTACTATTTTCGTTCATAACTTGTCTAGTTATGAACCATAACTTGACAAATATTGTCCATAATTGTCCATAATTTGTCTGACTATGAACCATAACTTGACAAGTTTGTCCATAACTTATCTGGTTATGAACCATGACTTGACAAGTTATGACCTATTAGTTTCTATAACTAAAAATTGACCTATATACTTTGTTAAGCTTTTCATATTAGCTTATTTTCTATCATTTTCTTTTAACTATAATTCTATTTTGGATATCTCTCGCTCATTTTCTCCTCAAAGGGACCGAAAATATTCACAACACTTTTTTTTTCCTTGTTAGAGATAACACCTTTTTCTTTTAACATATTTTCTTAAATAATAACACATAAACAAAAAACAAATATAACTTATGGGTAGATCTATTACAGAACCTTTAGAAGGGGGTAACGTTACATCACATTTTTTGTTCACCATATTTGGTTTACTAGAACCAAAACCTAGCTATACAAATGTACATACAAATATATCTCACTAGACCCCTCACTCCTCATAGCTAATCCTTTTCACAAAACTCCTACACACGATTCATTTAATAACCCCAAATATGTAGGATACTAATAATTAATTAAGATGATAATAATACCTCATGAGTAGTTGCAGACATAACTTTAATATATATATATATATATATATATATACAGTACGCAACAAGATAGCATAAATAATTATTATCACTATATACTTGTGAGTTGTGACGACTAGTTATGAATTGGAGTTTTCTTTCGTGCTGGTGTATAGTCCTCTGCGATCAATTTTTCTACAGCTTCAAAGCTATGATCGTCCTCTTCGACTGTAAATTCATTGCCATGAATCTTATAAGCACGCTCACCTTCAACCCGATGGGAACCCGTCTCGATTTTTCGAGCTGCTATAGATTATTAATATATAAATTATAACATCTCTGTAGTTATTGATTTGCACAAAAATCGTAGGAACTAATCATACTAGAGAAGATAAGGCTATACAAGGGTGGACTAAGAAAATACATGAATTTGTTGAGGAAAATGTTTGTACGTGTTATCTCACATGAAAAGTTGATAAAAATGTCGAATGAGTTAATTTGGACTCCTAAAGTGTGTTGGGTCAGTTTCACATGTGGTGTCTCTCTAAAAATTAGTATCAGAGACGATGGTTCGTACATGGTCAAGCAATCACACTCGGCTGCAGTTGCAGGTGCGTATGGTAGAGCATTTGATGGACTCGCATAGTTTCAGCTCTCTTTCCCATGCTCGAGTTGGCTCCCGTTTGGAGTGTGATGCTTGTATGTG